TAAAATCGATCAAGTAATTTGTGTCTCTCTTTGCCATGGATGCTGACTGACATGAAACTCACAGGTGGTTTTCAAATTTCTTTTTGAAGCGCTCAGGTGATTTGCAATTTTGTGTGTTTCTTTGTATTAATAAAATTGAACATGGAAGACAGGTTGTTCTTTACCGCAGCACGTAAATATGCTAACACTATTCGTTTGCTTATAAAAATAATTTTTTTGTAGGAATTTCCATCTGTTTCTAGTTTCAAAGGAAATTTTTAGAAAATACGTATATCGTATAATTGATGCTAAAAGGTGTTGATCAGCTTAATGTCTGTGTACAGCGGATTTGCCCTTTATTGAATTGTGACTCACGTAAGAGTATAAAAATATCATGACCCTGATTTGCTTCTTAGCAAGCTTTTATTTTATTTTATTTTCAGTTTTTTCTCTCCCGCTCTGTTTCCTTGTTGCAATAAAACGAATTTGAACCTGATTAAATTAAAGCCATAGAAACCGATAGGTGCTTTTTGGAGGTCAGGTTTCTTTGTGAGCAAACCGCAGGCCTGTTGACAGTCTGCTTCTTGTGATGGATACATTTCGCTGTTAGTTTGACTCCTCAATGCCACGTAGAGTGGAAACATGTCTAAATATGTCATATGTGTTCAAGTATCTTATACACACAATTTCTCAGTCCCCATAGACCAAGGGTGTACAACTGAATGCGTATGGGAGCTCGGACTGTATGTTCCATCATGGCCTCTATTTATTTATGCATTATTTGCACTAATTATGTAAAATTAAAGTGCATTGATGAGGTTATCTTTCTTGTATTTGACGGTAGTGGCCTGATGATTAACACAACGGCAGTTTTAACATTTTCCCGCTTCTAGCATGCCTATTACCGGATATCACGCCCGATACAAGGACCCACTTCCGGATAACTGGATCTTGACCGTGCGTTATCGCGTGTTCCTCAACCTTCTGCCATGAACCGGCGCAGATGGGCTCATCAATGTGTGTGTCTGAACCACCGAGTGTATTTCTTCTTAGTTACATTGGTAACATATGTGACATTAAAGGTTCCGCGTAAAATCTGGAGAAGAATGTGTCTCATAACTGGCGGATGTTGACAGTGTAGAGTCGCTGTAGCGAATTGCTCATTTCACACAGATTCTGTGGATGTGTGTGACGTGTGTGCAATGCTGAGGCCGAAACAGTCGTATATTGGCCTAAGTTCACGACCACGTGAAGACATAAGTGACGTATGTGTGCGGTCCCATTTGACCTGTGACCAGGGAAAATCTGTTATTACTGATCAACGTTGATAACGAAAGAGACGTGAATTCCCAGTATTGTTTGTAGCCTATAGGACAAACGAAAATTTTGCTATCGATTTCACTACTTGTTTGTAATTTTTTTTCCTATGAAAGACCAAGGAAAAGAATGCTCTTGAGATGTAGTGTATGAGGGAATGATGATAAAGTTTATCTTTCTAAACTGACTTGACATTAACCCATTGGTGGTTTTTTTTGTGAGCAACGTAATGAATCTTTGACTTTCACTTCCAACTTGTGTAGAAACCAATAGTCGTTGATGTAAATAAATTCCTCAGCCTTCTACTTTGTCCTGAACAGATAAACCGTTCAATACACACCATTTTTATTGAATACTCTTTTTAATATTATCCTCACATCTACGCTCCCAAGTGGCCCCTACCTTTCAAGTAAAATCGAGGAATTTATTGAGTAGCAGAAGAATC